CCGAGTTCAACTTCCACGCCGTATGTTCTACACTTCTGGGTCACCGGACACGGAGGGAGAAATGTGAAAGAACTGGGTTCATTTTGGCGTTTTGAGATGCATAACCACGCTTGGGCCTTGTATGCGTGTTTCGGAGACACAGAATACATAAGTTTTAGGGGAGTATAAGGTTTCGGCAAGCATTGCCTGTTTGACAATTTCACAAACGTACGGACGTTAAAACCTCCTTTATGGGAAGGATTTCGTGGATTTAGAAGGGTGTTGTTTTTATCGTCAATAGGCAGCGAGGAGCATAAGGTCCTTCGGTCAGATAACTGACAATCAAATGGCCCAGCGGCGTTTGTTTTTGTGGTGGGAAGAGGGTGGGGAGGGACGTCGGTGACCACCGAAATGCGCGGGCAAATGATACTTCCCGGTTGCCCAGGCCGAGGAAGGGGGTTAGGTTGAGATACCCCGCCCTGAGTCTTTGACTCAAAGGTCTGACCCACAAGGCAGTGGGAGGACGTAGGGTTTTGTTCGGGGACCCTGACCCTAGCCTCTGACTCAAAAGTCTGACCCACGAGGCAGCGGACAGTAGGGTTTTCTTTGGGAACTCATCCCGGAGCCGATGACTCAGCAGTCTGACCTGCTCGGATGCAGGCAGTTGGCGTAATCCGAGGACGCAGGGAATAAGGTATTTCTGTCTCATTCCTGATGTGGCTGCGCACAGTGGGTGCCTTTTGAGCAGCACCGGGCTCTTTGGTTTTGAAAGTATTTCTACCGTATAGGATAATGGGCCGACGGTCACGGTCAATTTTTGGGCGATCGGAGTGTGCAGTTTTCGGGGCAGACCTCGGAGGTGGCATTGCTGCTTGCACAAGTATGGACAGGCTGGTCGCCTGGGGGAAATATCTTACTGCCTGCACAATCCTGTCGCAGAGGATAGTACGAATTTACTCCCAGACCGCCTCGTAGCACGATTACTCCTGGTACGGGGTCTCGCTATTCTTGCTGTGGCTGCTCATCTTTGGCCTTCTCGGCGTGGTTGAACCTTGTGGATCTAAGTTGCAGACAGTGTGGTCCGCGGAATCATTGCAAGCCCGGCCACCACGTCAAGGTGGGGAATTTTTTTTACCTACATCCAGTGAAGTTGTCTTCGCATCCTTGATTGTGTCTCATTACCATAACGTTACGTTAATTTACTTTACATTGCGCGGAGCGTTTTAGCGAACTGCCATGGTGACATCTTTCTGTAACTACCAATTGGTGCTACAAGTTTTATGGAGATCACTTGGTACAAGCCGTAGAGCTAGACTAAACAGTCATACTGAATATCCCGTATGACTGGAACGCTCCCACTTTGTTCGCTTCTCGACGTCGATTACTATGTTGATATTGGTGTTCTTGTGCCAGGCCCTTTAGAATTGCTGAGCGTTTACAACATTTTCCCAAGTTTCGACTGACGGGTGAAAGGCGACGCTACTTCCCGGATCTGAAATCTCTGGGCTTGGTTCACTAACTTCCGATGTTGCATCAGTTTGACCGTCAACGGTTCACTGCAGCACGATCCATCTTACCTTGTATTGGCGAAGATATCCGGAGATATCCCTCGGTGTCTCTGGATCATGGCACGGATAGGATAGGAACATCGGGCCAGTGCCAGATGGTTTCTCGCGAAAAGAATTCACCAGCGACAGGCCAGCTGGTCAAGTTCAGTTGGTTGCGCTGCTCAGCTCATGTGCTTGGGTTGCCTGAGGATGTTGTGTCACCACCTTTTCGCCGACGTATAGGGTGGAGACGACCTAGAGACCGTACCATAGTGTCTGTTTATGGAAGCGATTACTAGTTAACCCGGTTTCGTCGGCAAGTACCTTCTTTCTGGACGATAACCCCTCATGGGACATAACCCAGGGTTGGTGTTTCATATCTCCAGGACTACACCCAATCAGACAATTGGATTGGTTTGACGTCACTGGTTATGCCACGCTGTACAACTTTTATCTATCCCATTTACTCTCCATTCATAGAGGAAAAACTAAGGTAGCCAGAGCCGATACATCTCCTTTATAGCTGAAAAGCAAGTGAATCGAATCTATGATCAGCATGTCTGCTACGACGTTCTCGCCATGCATCCATGCATCTTGGCAATCCATTGCGCCAGATTATCCTATACCATCTTGTGATGCGGCTGAGAAATGTACTCATTCAGACAGTTGTGCCAGTCCTCGCCGCACAGTAGAGCTCGGGTTAAGGAAACCTAGCAACCGAAAACTTCGGTATGACACCAGCTTTTTTTAGAGGCTAGAATTTAGTGATACTGTACGTTCCATACTTTTACGCAGAATAGAGTCCTGGTAGCTGTGACTCAATGTCATTAAGGAGGTTTTAGTATGCAACGGCTTTTGTCCCTCAAATCCCAATATCTCAACGGTTCAATAATCAGAAACTAACTAGAGCTTTCCAGCACACAATTCTGTGTACAGCGATATCAGGATTGAAATGTTCACGCTTCAACTACTAAGTGGATTCGGATCTTGGAATATCGACTCCGAGGAAATGTCACGAGGAAGACCCGGACGCCCGCTGCCATCCAGACTACTCAGTCTTCTCTGCGTCCTACAACTTTATTGTCAGTATAACTTTTCGATTAAACGCTCATGGTAGAATACATCGAACAATCCGCTCGTCGGCACGGACATGCGGGGAATTCCAATCATTCTCAGCTTTTTGTCCACCGATCTCTTTCCGAAACCTAATCTTGACCCATACCCAGGCGTTTATAGATCTGATTAGCATTGGTTCTCTAACCACTTCCATTTTTCAACCAACCGCAAGTTGATCAAAACAAAGATGCAGTAACAAAGTTAAGAGACCCGTTCTGTCTATCAGCTTTCAGTGTGCTTACTCTCACGTTAGTCACCATGTACTGTTTTCTCAAGCCGTCGGTTTTTCCACATGGGCGTATATTATTTTCAAAGCATGCGTACACGATCCAGGCCAATTTACATTGTGTTGTCCTCAGTTTTAGGGCTAAAAGGACCTGCCGAATTACAGTCTTTTGCTTGCCCTCTGAATACCGGTGTGAATAGAGGTCAATACTATTCGACATGGAATGTAAGTACAACCAATTTGATCGGGGCGAGATGGCCGAAGTGGTTAGAGCGCGGATTACTAACCGGAAGGTCCGCGGTTCGAATCCGACCTCCGCCACTCGACTTCCCCTGTCTAGGCTTGGGCAACCTGGCAGTATCCCAGCCCTCGTGCTTCCTTCGGGTGGCATGGCAGCTAGGCACCGAAAGGGTGCTACAGCTGAACGCTTTTTTCTTTTTCAATTTGATCGATAATCCATCCGTGATATAGGTTCTCCGCAAGTGTCCAGCGCAACTCGTCAGATGTATGTTATCGCCTCGGGAAAATTTAACGGTAATAACTAACCAATTCCAGGAAAAACAGTCTACTAATGGTTTGTTACGGGATGGGGCCATCTGTCTAGCAAGACTTTAGAAACACCTGACTGCCGCTTTGTGGGCAATGGGTTCAGCTAGCCGTGGATAGGCAAGAGGAAGGAAGAGGGGCATTTTTATCGCTCCAATTCCGTACCCGGTGCACATACCGGCACACATACTTGCCTCCTAGGGCGGACGATTGCCTGGATGTACAATGTAGCCTCCACTTTGCTGTGTAATTTAAATCCTTTGGTGAAAAGACGGACACGGATGGGTGCAAATATGCCATGACTCACGTTTTTCAGAACATGATAGTGTTGTAATAATGGGTTCCTATCGTACCTGTAATGCAAACTAGTCTTTCGAATGAAGTGTGCATTCAAACCATTCAAGTGACCGCCTGGTGGTATGTAACACGCATGAGGCAAAACGATCACAAGGTCTAAATTCGAAACCGAACTAACTGAGAGACAAAGCTGGACTGCAAGATGCAGCTTCAGCAACTCGGGTCGTTGGCTTGTAAAGTCTCTTTCCATAAAATCCGCGTCGAGTAAAAATAGAAATGTCTGTATCGATCTGAATTTCCCTTGACTGCGTCATTCATTGTGGCGGATGTATTCGCGTAACATTTGGAAATGTGCGCCATTCATAGCAAGCGCGAGTTTCGATCAATGCTGAACATGTGCATCATGTCGACACCGATCCTGTCTGGGACCTGAGAGGTCATATTTCCGATGCACTCACGGACTGAACAAAATCAGATGAAGGGTGATGGCCCATCTTTGTACGCGGGCTTAGGGAAACGGAAGGACCACTCACGAATTGCACCATGTACTGCTCTGTTTCGTGTGATTCGATCGACTTGCTGCACGTCCAAGTTGGGATCTTCAGTGGCGTAGTGATTGAAAGTATCGCGGAATACTTGGGTTTGATTCCATCAACATTCCATTCTCGTGGTCATTGCTTCATAATTAACGAAATCTTGATATTTTCAGAAGGAACAGCACTTCGTGGTAACACTCAGGAGAATCTTACTTGTCTAGTATGTTGGATTTATTTTTTAAGATGAACGTCAATTTTTTGGGGTTAGGGCTAATAAATATTTACCGCAGTCGCGAGTGTCAGGGAGTTTATGGATTGACATTTTAAAGGGATACGCTACAATCAAGATGTAATTACATCACTTGTGGGTTTCTTCCCTTGAACTTTGACAAAAAGCACCATGCGGTGTAATACCAGCTGCAGTTGGGAAGTGTGTTCCTGTCAGTTACTTCGTATCACCGGTTTTGAACCGGTTCAACCAGTCAGCTGTAACAACCTTTCGGTGCCTAGCTGCCATGCCACGCGAAGAAAGCACGAGGGCTGGGATACTGCCAGGTTGCCCAAGCCTAGACAGGGGAAGTCGAGAGGCAGAGGTTGGGCTTGAACCACAGACCTTTCGGTCAGTAAATTCGCGCTCTAACCACTTGACCCTCTCGCCCTTTTGAACCGGTTCGCCAATGTAGGTTTCGTTCTTCGGAAGCGCGCGTTCGGTTTGCTGTGAATGAATGACATGATTCTGTCACAAATCGTCTCGTGATGTTATTCATCAAGGGTTCAGTGTCAAAAGATCCGAAATCCGTGACTTTTTACAGGCCGGCTTATATATGTGACTTGAACAACAATTTACTATCTGTTTTAGGATCCGTGCTTTTTTTACATCCATGCAACGACCAGAGAAGGATGATTCCAACTCTTCTGCCGATGCTGCTGGATGTGGACGATACAGTACGAATAAGGCCGGGATGAGCGGTTTGGACAAGGCGACGATCCTTCAAATAATTTTAGAGAATTCCAAAGGTAAGCAGGTATTCTTCTAATAATTCTTTTTCACCGGTGTCTTCATGCAACTCGCATTGTGTTCAACTATGTTTAGTGTATTGCATAAGCAGAGGACATTTTTCAATGACGTAAATCTATAGGGGCAGGACAGTCTTGTCAGGAACTCCCTATAAAAACCGTTATTGAAGGGCCAGATAAAATAAAATAACTTCGATAAATCGACTTTTATCAGTAGGGGAATTAGTAAATCTTGAAGGTGCGGAGTTCAGTTATATGCCTTGTGGATTAAACTACAAGCCAGGCGTGTTGAGCGGGATGTTAGCTGAAGTCCTTATCTGGTTTCGAACTCAGTGCTCGGAGAGTTCGGTGGAGAGATGCAGAAAAAGTAAGTTGACAGCTGGGAAGTGTAAGTTGATTGGGCTGACTTAAAGAACAAAATGGTGGTATGATTGAAGTGTCGTGATAGGCCAGTCTCGGGAGATTATTAATCTTGGTAGATAGATAGGAAACTGAAAATGCTGAGAATGGTTGGATACCTGAGTTCATGAGCCGAATCATTCTTCTGAAGTACGCTTCTTAAGTGACATTGATGATTTTGCTCGGATGGGCTCTACCTAAAGGACTTCCAGCAAAGTACGACCTCCGTACCCTTTGAATTTGTCTTCTTATAAATGTCTTGCAATCGATGAAGATGGGTCTGAACTTGTTTAGTTTTAGAGTAGTGTCCCGTTATTGAAAAAGACAACGCATATTTTGCTGACATAAACTCAAATAACGTAATTTATTGCGGAGTGTTATCTAGTGATTTGTCTGTCTGGTTTGAACATAGGGAGTGGAGCTCGGGGTGGAGAGGGTATCCAGGTAGTAGGAAGCCCTGTCCAAGTATACGGAATTGATTAAGCATATCAATGCAGCATGAGGATAGCTATGGGCCCGTTGACGCGCACCACGGTCACGGGAGTTTTCTTTACCACCTCGGACGATTGCTAAGTTATCCGGCTCAGAAGACACTTAAAAAAAAATTGTACTTTGGCGTGCTGCTTTTTTGAGCTAGGAGCTTTAAATGTCACGTGCCTTGTTGAGGTACACCGTAGCTTAGGGTTCAGGCTATGTGCGAGAAGATTGGTCAAGCTGTCCGTGTTTCAAACACGGTCAAAAGCTGTCTAAACACTCAGTGGCAATAATTAATCCCGGGATGGCTGGCCACACAAAGTTTACGCTTGTGGGTCAGTCACTGATGAGTTATTTCCAAGTTTGTATTGGTGGCCATTCTTTAGGCTGTCATCTGATGATCCCACAGGTTTCCGTTAGATAGGATTGATTCGAAATTTTTGAATGTAATGATGAAAATGGTGGAATAAGGTTGGTGGTTTAGGGCAATTCCGAAGGAGCCAGCGACTTATTAAATCGAACTGTCTCATGAAGAAGGAATTTGAAAGCAACATTTGTTCCAAGAATTTAATGAACCTCATTAACCCCATCACGTCACAACAAAATTGCTGAATTACAAAGTAAGATTATGAATCCGTGTTCATTTGAAGACTGAAAGAAGCACATGGACGTTTCAAGCAGCCCACGACTGGTTCTGTGGTTCTGTGTACCTTCTGCAGACGCCACCCCAGAGGCGATCGAATGAGCGACTCCTGCTTAAGCATGGTTTGTATACATGCTTACTGTGTTGAAATTTTGAGCTTTTACAACTCGCTGTAGGCTGTGGCCTCCAGCTCTTCAGCTTGTTCTGCTGGTCAAGAACTCAGTTAGATTGAATCATTTTAACATATTGCTGGGTATGGGCCGTATCTCGTGTGCAAATAGATTTTTTATCGACAATTGATGTAAGTTTACGACTAATGTATATAGATGTTGAGATCATTCTTTGTATATGTATATATTTGGATTGAATTGTTGCATTGTTGTTTGAATTTGTGTTTAACGTTTTTGTTGGAAATCCACCACAGGCTCAAAGTTTTACGAGAACGAACTTCGTCGGGAACGTCTCCTACAGGAGCAAATTGAACGAAAACTGGCCCAAATTAAAACTTTCACTTCCGCGATGGTTTCTCTGGGTGAGACGGAGGTGAGGCCTGAGTATATGCCACGCCAGTTCACCGTTTCAACTCCAAATTCCTTTGATTTTTGGCGAGTTCACTCAGGTAGACAGTATTTTTACCTATCCAGTACGGAACATTCTAGAAGTTGATTGCCAACAGTGACGCAAGCTCAACACTACATTTCTTTCATGAGTCTAACATTTTGTTCGTACGCGAACTTCCGTTTTATGTTTTGCGTAGTTTTTCGTTCTAGTGACACATTTGTGTCGATACATCACTATGTTCTTTTGCGAGCTCAGAGTGAAGTTTGGACCGTTTACCTGGAAGTGATGTTTTGTCTAATTTGTCTTACGGAGCGATTGGTCGTTCGTTGCCTTATATTCACATTCGAGAAACAGATAGCCTTTTCAGCCTATGTAGTCTCAATTTTACCAGTCCCAATGGTTTGATTCATCGCTTGTTTGTTTGTCGCGGGCGTAGGTCTAAAACAGCAATTGTAGGGGCCATCAATGATCCCTCGCGTGGGCTTTCGAAGGAGCTTTGCTGGTTTGCTTGCAGATCAGAGATTCAGTGTTTCCGCTTCTGCAAGCTGATATTTCATTTCCTTAAAGTAACCCCAGTATTCTTCTCTTCTGGTTCTTGTACACTAGTGGATGTTTGTCCCTACTTACTTTTTCGGTCTTTCATATCTAATGGGCTACCCAACGGTTACATTCGGGAACACAGTTCACGAAACCGTATGACCCTGGTCTAGTGTCTTTCGCACTCTATGCTTAGAATTGTGTTGAATTCAGACACTGGCCGATGACTTTAATTCCACATATCTCGCTGCTTTTTTTCTTGAATGTAACAGTTATTTGGTCAGCAGTTGGTGGGCACCACCAGTTAAGCTGCCTTCAACCAACGAAACACAACCCGGATGTTGCTGAGCTAACTGGTTTGAATCTTTGAATTGTCATGCTGAACAGCTGGACAGTACGTGATCAACGGATGTTCCAGTGTTTGGAAATGCTTACCTGAGTATTGCTAACGCGTTTGTTTCAGGAGCCTGGACAAGTTAAATTCAGTCAAGAGCACATTAGGCATAAGAGCACAGTATTTGTTCTTACGGTCCACCAGACTTCAAGAAGGCTGCAACTCTTCTGGACACAAAGAAGTGAAGGAATTTAGTGCACTCCAACGGCCTCGTCATCAGAGAACATCCTTTTTTACGGAGTCTGCTATTACTTCTAGCTACAACATGGTTGGTAATTCCCTACTGATGGATCAGATTCACGCAGTTTCAGTTGGAATGCGCTTGCTTGGTGAGGTTTCTCAGCTTACTAAATGGGAAGATCGGTAATACTGAACGTTAACTGAACCTCTGATATGGCCACTTGTATACTATTTTTCGCGGCTCAGTCGTTATAGCTCAAATTTGCTAACCGGAAGATCCGTGGTTCGAACCCGACCTCTGCCTCTCAGTTTCCCCTGTCAAGGCTTGGGCAACCTGGAAGTATCCCAGCCTTATGCTTCATTCTGGTGGCACGGCAGTTAAACACCGAAAGGATTCTGCAGCTGAACGATTTTATTATTGTTACTAGCGTCAATCACCCTACCTAGGAATTCTCATGTAATTCAGAGCTTCTCGCAAATGAAAATTTCCGTGGCACGTAGTTTAGACGGAAAAACAGGGATGGGTTGACGAAATAGACGCCAAGTCCAGATAACCATGGACAGACAGAGCTTGAGTTTCTCAGCACCCTACTGGTTTTTCTTAGTCTGCAAGTGGCACATAATGGAAGCATTATAGATTAGCGGCCGCACCCGAGTGGAATGGAATGGTGAATAGTTATGACACCATTCAAATATCCAGATGTGCACTCTGTATTTAATGTATGAACACAAGTAGCTGAATGCTTTTTTGGAGTGGCATGACATTTACTGCCATTACTGAATTCAATTAGGGTTTACGTAGAATCTCTAAACACTTTCCTTAAATGCTTTGCGTCTAAAAAACATTTAGCTTCGGTGCCATTTTGGTAGATAGCCCGCATTTTAGGGTCAGCTAGTACTGAGAATTATAATTCTCGATTGCAAAGCGAAGCACCTATAATGCCAATGAAACAATAAACGCCGTTGGACGGACACGGACTTGCTAACCTTTGCTTACCAGAAGAGTGCTGTACCACGTGAGCTTCTGTATCCTCTTTGATCCCGGATTTTTTTCTTTTCACGACAGCGCGATGATGATGAAATTGCCACAAGATATGACACGTTTTAGTCAGTATGGTGTCTTTTTTGTTTTCTCACCTCGACCACCTGCATTCCATTTTGAGTTATCTACCTGACTATGAACAAGGAAACTCATCGGTTGCAAAAAATCATTCATATGAATTCCCTCAGGAATTCCTCACCTCCAGCACTTACTGTTAGTCTTCATTTCACTGATATTTTCGTATGGAGCAAGTAGTTATCTGATAGGCCTAGAGTACCGTAAAGTTAAACGTGTGGCATACCTTCTCCCCTAATCTCTTTTTTGTGTACCAGCTTCAAAATTGTGTGGTCCATCAGACTTGTTGTTACCAGGCTCTTGGACACAGATGGGGTCGGCGCATGGTTGATTAGTTGTATTGGTTGGTCTTCTGTGGTAGCTGTGCTTTTCACGACAAACTACAATTTGTTCTGTCTATCTATGTGTCATCGTAAATGTAATGTGACGTGAGCGGTGTAACAGCGGCGTGAACACCAATTACGGGCTTGAACGGGAACTGATCGGGTGGCTGCAGTTACTCTCAGGTGGGCAGCTGGCTGGAGGTTCGGTTGAGAGCTGATGTTATCGTTTCAGCTAACTGAAGCGACCATATGCTTCAATTGGCAGTTGTCATACACCACTTAACCTGCAGGTATGGCAACACGTACGTAAGCATAAGCAGTTGGAGATTTTCACAAAGAACGCATACCGAAGTATCTGTGACTAGTCGTGGTTGAATTCAATCACACACCTTGGCAACAATTTCCTGCAGTAGGATCAGTAATTGCTGTATATCATCCAAATCAGCAAGTCGAGTTGCCTAAAATAATGGAACTATGTAACGTCCTCTTGACAGTGTCAAACCGTAATCTGCAGATTGCACGTGTCTCTCCACATTGTTTCCAATTAATGAAAGGTGGTTTTCACAGTGTTTCAGTGGTTCGGTGTAGAGATAGTGCTACAGCTTTAAAAATATATAATTCAGTCTTGAAAATGCCCGCAAAGGCGCCACATATTCTTCTGTTTTTAGTGCAACTGTACATAAGCAGATATCATGTATATTCGCGGAGACGATAATGTCGTTAAACCACACTGGGCTCGTCATAGTTACTAATCCAGCGTAATAGGATCAATAAATCCCGTTCGAAACGGTCACAACTAAAAGGATTTCTAGCGTGAGTTCACAAATGAGCTGATGCATTATACCACATCCAAGAGGAAATATTAAGTGAACCCCTGGTGCACGCTTGCACTTTCGTCATCGGCGAACCCCCCCCCCAACACGTACGTAAGCATAAGCAGTTGGAGATTTTCACAAAGAACGCATACCGAAGTATCTGTGACTAGTCGTGGTTGAATTCAATCACACACCTTGGCAACAATTTCCTGCAGTAGGATCAGTAATTGCTGTATATCATCCAAATCAGCAAGTCGAGTTGCCTAAAATAATGGAACTATGTAACGTCCTCTTGACAGTGTCAAACCGTAATCTGCAGATTGCACGTGTCTCTCCACATTGTTTCCAATTAATGAAAGGTGGTTTTCACAGTGTTTCAGTGGTTCGGTGTAGAGATAGTGCTACAGCTTTAAAAATATATAATTCAGTCTTGAAAATGCCCGCAAAGGCGCCACATATTCTTCTGTTTTTAGTGCAACTGTACATAAGCAGATATCATGTATATTCGCGGAGACGATAATGTCGTTAAACCACACTGGGCTCGTCATAGTTACTAATCCAGCGTAATAGGATCAATAAATCCCGTTCGAAACGGTCACAACTAAAAGGATTTCTAGCGTGAGTTCACAAATGAGCTGATGCATTATACCACATCCAAGAGGAAATATTAAGTGAACCCCTGGTGCACGCTTGCACTTTCGTCATCGGCGAAACTCCCCCCCCCCCGAAATCTTTCCATAAGAAATCGAAACGTTCACAGCGATGAATTCCCACGGAACCACTGCTTGTTGCATAACAGATGTCATGTTCTCTCAGCACGTGGCTGATGGAACCTACGCCATTTGTTATGAACCTGAACAACAACGAGGTTTGTTTTGACTGTTACTCTTACCCAACAGCTACGATGCGTGGTGAAAGGTTGGAAAAACCCATTTCCTTTCTTGTTCGGACACGCCTAGTTTACTCTCCTCAGTCCAATTGAAAGCTGCTACTGTACTAGTTCGGAGAATCCGCAAACACAGCCCATGGGAGGTAGTTTCGATTAGAACTTACTGTACTGGCCAACAGTGTCCTGTTGTGATTTGATTTCCGTTCACCTGCATTATTTTCCTAACCCCAACTTCTGATGAAAGGTGTTTATTTTGATAACTGCGTGTCCCACCGTCGCCGTAAGAATCGCTTGCCCGTGAATCCTGTGTAGGTGTAAACGAATATCTGGGCACCTTCCAACTAACTTCTTGAAGAGAAACCAGCGTGCTATATGCAGTTCACTTTTGGCTCACTTAGCGCCGGACACCAAGCACGTGTTACAACAGCCTTCATGCCTATCTATAAGGTTTCTAAAGTTCAACAGAATGAATGCCATTTGACTCTTGGTCTCCGTTCATTTTTATCGGAACAGCTCCCCCTTGTAGCGAGAATAGGTTTTTTCCAATATTTTAGCTCCCAATTTCATGATTCATTGACAAAAGTGCTACTAGGTGTTAGACGAGACGGCTCAGAGACTTTTATCTCTGAAAGTAAGCAGTATGACCCGCTGGTAACTACAAGTCACTTTTTTGGAGCCAACTGTGCTTGAGCTCTGTTTCACTAACTAGTTTGCTAATTTTTATGTTTGCTTGCTACTACCTGTCCCTCTTGTTCAGGCGGATTCGGTGCTGAAGTCGATCGAGACTAAGCGTTGTTTCTCACGGTGCATAATGCATTTGGATATGGACGCCTTCTATGCCTCAGTGGAGATCCGCGATCAGCCAGAGTTGCGTTTCCATCCGGTGGCTGTAGGCAGCAATAGTATGTTGGTAAGACTACTGGTAACAACTGGTTATGTACCATTTCCTTCTTAAATCAATTTTAGGGAGTACAAAACTGCTGCGGTGATAGGGATTCTACCGCAAACTCTACCGGTCTATTTAAATCTTATTTTTATCTGAGTGTTTGTGAGTAGCTCACTGCTGCTCAGGTCAACCATAACAAGGACTACATCCAGTATGACAAAAATGCATACTGGTGCAAGTAAGAAGGCTTTCGCTGGGGAGTCATTTGTTAGAAAACGCCAGCTAAGCAGTTACAGACTATTGGTCAGAGAAGTAAAACTCTCATTTGCATCATATTTACAAAAACTGGACATCCATCTTCTACTGAACGCGTCTTCTTGAACTTTCCTGGATATTCATTGACTCCAATCATTCATCGCTCAAATCCAAGCAAATGTTACAAAGCTACTCCACAAATTCCGCAACAGATCTCCGCTTTTCAAGAGGCGCAAAGCGAAATTCCACGAACAGCACATACTACTCGCGCGCTTCCCCATTAGTAGTATCACCATTACACAGGTACATTCTAATAAAGCTATAAAGGTGCTAAGGCTAGTAATTAGAAACCTCAAAAATATGGAGTTAGCAATCGTTACTTCGTCTTTTTAGTTTCACTGCCCTCGCTCTCTATTATCACTGTGATGGTTTCTAAAGTTTGGTACTGTTCGTGTAGACCAAATCATCCAAGTACTGTCTATCTGCGGATGTGCTCAGAGGGTGTATCAGTAGCATTTTCATCAGCAGCCGTTTTACATGACAGCCGAATTTCAAATGACATGCAATGTTTCAGTTGTGGTTTCAGTCGTTTTAATCGCCTCTCTCTTGAGGAACTAATCAATCATTTTAAGGATGTATCTGCTCTGGTCTCCTTGGAAGTTTTCTTTTTCGATGGAGTAGTGGTTGAGAACTCCTAGATCGCCAAATCGTCTTTGCTATGGAAGCTTCTGCTTGAGGTATAGAACTGTAGTACTCTGCAGAATTTCGTACCTTTCAACTTGTTTACTCAGGTGCGCTCGGTTTCTACACTGACCGGCTTTCATTTTCCCTGGTACAATTCCATCTGTAATTTGGTTGGATAAACAAAATAGAGCAGAATAGCCCCTGCAGCCATTTGCAGTCTACGTTCCTTCACCTGTCGGATGGATCACAGAGAATCAACAGTATTCCCAGTCGACCTTGAATTTCTTTGATGGACGGTCAAGTATCCGTGCTTTTTTTCTACGCGCTTCAGTAGTTTTCATGTCTGCCGTATCCATTTCTATCTAAACGAAAAGGCACCAAGTGAAACCCCTATCGTGTGTGTTTTGTCCGAATATCACCCAACCCAATGTAGTCCACAAGCAATTACATCGCTCGCCGCTTCGGTGTGCGTCCTGGACTCCCTGGATTCCTTGGCAAAAAACTCTGTCCTGACCTGCGTATCGTACCCCCCGACTTTGCTCGTTACACAGCAGCTAGTAGGGTGGTTCGAAGTGTGCTACGACCGTATGCGGCAATCGGACTCACTAAGGATAAAACATGTGGTGGGCCACCGGGTTCCGACAACGAAGATGACCACCCGGTCGCCATGGTTACTGCTAGCTTGGACGAGGCTTATTTGGACTTGACTCAGCACCTGAAAGAACGTGTCAATCTCTCCCAAGAGCAACGGTCCTTTTGGCCTCGACCAGCTCCTTCCGCTCCCATGCTTGTCTGTCGGTAAGTTTACTTCAGGTATATATGAACGCTTTGGATGAATGAGTGGTGGACAATTTACCTGGCCATTCAGGTACTCTGTCCGCCTCTTCTTTCGCTCACAACCAAATGGCTGAATTTCACTAGCGCCGTGGATGACCAGTCTAAACAGACGTTACCGCTCTCACAAACTAGGAATTTCAGTGCTGATTCAATGTAGTCAGTTAATGTAAGAAAAAAAGTATCATCTGATCACTTGATCTGACAGCTAGCTGATTTTGTTAGTACAAAAAGACAAGGTAGAACGCGCCCTGGTGAACAAAACCCTTTCGGCGCTTGGTGAACTTTTGAGGTCGACTCCGTCTGGCAGAATGAAGTGTTGAAGAGCTGTGTAGCATAGTACAGCTATTTCATCCCTATTGGTCATATCGCACTACACGAAGAAGGATGGAACCGGCAACCTTTTGAACAGTAGTTGAACACCACCGTGGGAGCCGTGGGTTGCTGGTCAACAGAGTCAACTCGCATGCATGAACTGTCTAAATACAACCCGAACAGGGTGAACAAAAAATAAGTGGGCAGGGATTCCTGTGACATCTGATCAGCAACGGTTATGTTGCCTAAGTGTACCGGCCTCAGGTGAACCAATGCTTTTAACTAGTAGCTTGTACGTAGCGAACTTGGCGTTTTAAATCCTGATAGGAACCTTCTTACCCCTTTACAACACGCGACATCTGACTAACCCGCAAGAGTGGGACAGTGTACCCGCCAGGAGACACTGTTCATGATCTCTTGCTTGCTGGGCTAGATGGAGGATGAATTTTATCCCCAGTAGTCCACGGAAAGGGACCTCCAGAGAGAAAGGGGGGTTGTGGTCTCTTTTCGGAAGTGGACTCTTCCAAGGTGCATAAGCCACAAGTATTCCGTCCAAGGACCCCAAGTATTGATAGTAGCTCCAGGGGACTGGCCGAAAGCATCTTCTGAAGGGCGCTCGTAACAAAAGGAAACGTTGTACTGTATATGTCTTGATGATCGGTGAAAGTAGCGTAACCAAACCCGGGACAAGTTTGTCTTACCGCTGTCAGTCGACTGTGTTCGGGGTTAGGATACAAAAAATTTGGATGCTTGGAGTTGACATCCTAGTCTTTGTTGCGGCGTGGGAAGGAATTTCGCCTCACAAGGACATCGTGAATGGTCTTTGAAGTTGGGGTTCATCTCTCAGAAGGTATCGGGATTGCTCTAATTAAGGAAGTTGTGTGTTCTGGAGTACTTCGGATGGGCATTTTGTCAGTTAATCTGCTGAATCACACTTGCTGTGGGACCGACTCCTGATAGTGGCTATTGTTTAGACCCTTTTTCCTCTGCGACTCCACATATCTGGGTACCTTTGCTCTTAGCTTCAGGCTGCCTCATGAAGGCCGAACATAATCGACAAGAAATCGGTTGGAAACAAAGAAGTTTGAAGATCTGAATCTTTTCTCCTCGCTGAATCTTGGAACCTTGATACTAACTCCACTCTTGTGTTGCCCACGGGTTACGTAGCCACCCACAACAACAAAACCAAGGTTTTTTGGGTAATTACTGACTTCACGCGAAGAGGATGCTAGTAAATCTGGTACCTAGAGAGCGCCGAATTTCCACTTCGCCTTGTTTTGTAGATGTGATGTGATGAAGACCTGTTCTTAAGCTCATGGTAGAGAAATAGGGTTTATATACTCATCATGGAGACCTCGCTCTGCCTGTTATGTTATTGGCAGGGCCGACCGATGCTTACCATTCCTTGATATGTATCTGCTGTCTGTAGGATTTCTGGGGAATCTGGAGCTGCTCATCCTCATGATCCTGAATGTTTTAGATCCAATTCATGATTCCGTGGTGCTAAATTCATTCATCTAAGATCTTCCATTCTGTTTGCGTAACATGTTAGCCGCTAGACATATGTAGTTAGACATTCATGTGACTTCGTTGGTCGAGGTGTACTTCAGTTACTTGGCAACCAGGACTGTCTGAAACCAATGTTCCACTGATCGCATGATCGTCTGGCGCCTGTTGCATTATGTCGACATGACCTGAAGGTAGCTTTACTGGTTTAGTAGTTTGACATGAGCAACTGTGGTGTTTAAATTATGCGTGGGCGTGATGGCTCAGATAAGCTCAAGAGTTTGGGCCGATTCTCGGAAGACAGACTAAGCATTATTGACTTTATCCTGGCCCGCTGTTGTACGCCTCATCCTGTTTATCAGAGCTATGGTTTTCAGATTGTTCTGAATATCTTGTAACACAAGACTTCAGTTGATATCTCCAGAGCGGATTAGCTACCTAGATGGACTGTCCAGATTAGGCCATAGGTGGCCTTACAAGGGGTCCCTTGATTGGGTTGCAGCTTCGAATTTGTTCCACCAGTTTGAGCGAACTTCAAACAACAACTTGGCAGTCATCAGTTCACTAGCTTGCATCCTATGCTTTCATCGTTTTAGTATGATCTGATGTGTTTTTCCTGTTAATGAACAACCCTCGGGTTTGGCAAAAAATGCTCAATGAGACATAGAAAACGAAGACTGTGAGGGAATTCTTTTCTGAAAATCATGTTGGAGGTATGCAGTTTTACGTAAATTTATTGAGATCCACTTACCGTTGGCATAATAATAGAGATCAAACACTCATTCAGACCGACAATGCGACAAATATGTCAGACGCGACGTTTACAGCAGTGGATGCATTAATTAGGCATCTGAACTAAACGGTGTGCATACTTCCGCTCTGTCCGGTTGTCTGCAGAGGTCGGGCTTCAAAACCTTGATTGCAATGGCTTCGGTGCTTGACAAAAACCGCTCACAGAATGTTAAATGCTTTCGAGTAGGCCATTTGGGGGCCATTTTGGGCTACACATCCAGAGGTTGGACTGTGCCTTCGCGTAGAGGATCTGGAACGATTTCCGAAATTTGCTTACGCAGACGTATAGCGTCACGTCCTAATTATGGTGCATCACAGAGGAGTTAAAATGAACTGCAGAAATGCCTTTTAGTCAGTGAGGACAACTGTCGGCCTTATGAACCGAAAATGACTTGTTTATAGCAGAGGAAAGCATTCGAGTTATCATTTTGACAGGTCAACCTAACTGGCCTTCATGCGCATATTTTGACTAGCCGTTCTTCAGTTGCAACAATGTAATAACAATTTCAAGGACAAGATTTGGTTGTCCTCTTCAGTTGCACTTCTGAATCATAATGACTATTGTTCATGCTCAAGGGAACGAAGCAGATCTGTCGATGCGCGGGCCACATTGCACGAGCATGCCGTTCCCTTGTTTGAGGTATATGTCACACAGAAGTTGAATCGCGCAACAGTTCACGTTTAACTTGAACCTAGAAAGTGTTGGCCGAAATTCGGCGCAAGAGGATCATATGGTTGCTTCGTTTTTGGCTTTAATATGGGTCGTTACAGAAGGATTGTCCGCTAAATGTATACTTTTCAGCTTCACAACAAGCAAAGTTTTATGATTGGAAAAAGGAGAAAATGAGACAGGTAGGTAAATTCAGGGTTAACCTACAGCAAACATCCAGAGAGCCTGATTCTCAAGCAGTAAGCAAGATGATCGGTATAGAAACTGGCAACGTGAACGGCGCGAACGTCGATTGGCAGCCCTACTTTTCTGCCTTTCTAGTCAGGCACGGATGGGGTCATGTAGATAACGCCCCGGAAGGTGAACCGCATCAGCAGCACCATTGCTTTTCGTAACAATCTTCATTCCCTCCCGCCGTGTCATATCCTGCCCATCCGTGGGTTTCCGCCACTCCGAATTTGATACGGAAACAATGCTCTTCTCGAGTGACGATAACTTGATCTGCGTAGCACTTGGCCCAGACACCCTACCCTGTACTGTTGGATCCATCCCTTCGGTGACCTACCTTCCGTTACATCAGAGATCCTTCTCCTGATCAACTCACTCCTGCTTCGCTGGTTCTATCCGATACCTGCTATAGTTTTGAGAAATCGGCGGTCAAAGACCTGAATATGTCTTAAGTTTTCCATTCGAAGTGGCCAAGTATCGCACTGCTATAACAAGAACGCGCACAATGTAGTCTAATGTACGCGTCCTTTGAGACTCAGTCGCCTGTCTTTTGGCACCACAAGTGGCGTGAAAAGGCGAAAACAATTCTGGCTACTGCGATTTCGAGATACGTGTAGTGTTCCACAACTCCCAACATCACTCCTGGAATTCCTACTAACGTGTTGAAATCCTGTTGAAGTCGCGCAGCATGACCTTGAAGCTTGTGTGTTCAAGGCAAATAACAAATGTTTGGATGACCTTGGCCAGTTTTCCCAGTAGTAAATGCGTTTCCTGCTCTTATTCACAAAATGAGAGCAATGTTTTCTGGATATTCCAGGTTGGCAGGGTTTTCAATTGTGTCCAAGGTCATACACTTCAACGCATCACTGTGCCAAACTAAGGGAACCCTATATCTTCTGAACCTTTGTAAATGATGTCTGGTGTTCTGTCATTTTGCGTGGTCGCATTCCCCCGACTTTGAAATGCAGGTCAGCTACTAATTTTTGCCATTGCACTGTCCATTTGATGAATTCGACGAAATCTTTCTTGTCGTTCCCGTAGCCTGTGCTCCTTGTATGGAGTATTCCACCGTCGAACTTAGATGTTCGCAGATGAGGTATGGTGGTTCAAACTAATAACGTAAGTGTGAGTAAAGATCCCACATCTAAACGAAGCACCGATTTGCCAGAAATAGTTCGATTCTAAACGTGGAGATCAGCGTAGAGGCTCTGTCTAGCCGGATGGCCTGATAATTATCTCCGAACCATCGCATTCCATCCTACGATCTACTACAACGGAAGCAGATGACGCACCAAGTGTAGGTAGAAATCGTTCAGCTATAGCATCCTTTCGGTGCCTAACTGCCATGCCACCCGAAGGTTGCACGAGGGCTGGGGTACTGCCAGGTTGCCCAAGCCCAGACAGGGGAAGTCGAGAGGAAGAGGTCGGGTTTGAACCACGGACCTTCCGGTCAGTAAATTCGAGCTCTAACCACTTGGACCATCTCGCCCCCAGTTACCTTGTATCCACTAGGTAGAGTTAGGACTTTGGATGTTCGTTGGGTATTCGACGGAATATTCGAACCTAGTGGTTGCAATATATACCCAGCTGGTTGATCATATGGACGCCTAAGAACCTGCAAAACCTTTGTTTTTGGTTGCCGTAATCATCCTATGTTATTCCGCATATGAACATATGTATCGTTCAAATTAGCAGTAACTTTTTTGTTCGGTTTTGAGGGGTTGAATATTCTGGTTAATCCGTACTTGTTCAATTGGCCGAACGTTTCTTCATCCAGAATGTTACTTGATGTTTGGATTGTTGACACCAGAGTGGTTTTACGATTATCGGTTATCGTAGAACACAAAGGCTCAAGTTTTTTTGAATTGAGGTACCAAGTTTTCGCATTGATTTTCTCAGGTAGATTTGGACTGCGAATAGCTATCCTTATACCAAAGACGATGATCCCTGTTGTAAACGATTTAAGCTATTCGACGGATTACAAATAGTCGATAGGCTTCAAGAAAGGAACTAAAGAAACTCGAATATCATAAAGTAAAGTGGATAATAGTTCGGCATCATCCTACAACAGTTCGATTAAAATAGTCGTCGATATTTAGGCACAGATCCTAGAGGTACGAGTCAACTTTTTTTAAAGAAAAACGCAATCCTCGTTCTTATAAAAACCCATCTAAGTTCAAAGTAATTGAACATTTCAAGAATACAATGCTTCTTGAAATGCGTATTTTTATCAACGAAATACATATGGAGGTTGTGTATAGCATAGGCTCCTTTCGAAAATCCGGTTTCAACACTGAAGGATGGAACCCACGGTTCCCCAACATCTCAAGACGGTAGACAATTTCCACAAGAGTTGGAGGCTTTTTTTCCCTCTCTAATCTCAGCAACCGAAAGTGTGGAGGAGAAGGCAACAGAATCTCAGTATGCTGAAACTCATGCATGTACTCAGTAAGGATTGTTGTTATTATGTTCACGCGACACACGTGACCAGGTGACTCATATGCTGTTGGTCCCCACGCAAGAGTTACAGTTAAATGGTTCGGTGGTCCGTGTTTCTACATCAGTTATGTTAGAAGGCTACTTTAATATACGTCCTTTTTTATTTGAAGCCCTGTAATTCAAAAGTAGAACGTCTCTTCTCTTGACATAACACGCTACTTATAAAGTCGCTGATAATTCACCACTGATGTGGCCCTTCTTGGCATTCACCAGGTCTCCAAATTTTCATTTGATGCTCTGCTTGAACACCATATTTCATACAAATGATCAAGCAAACTTGCTTGCAAACTAATCTGGTCATCCCCAACTTAACCTGCATATGAGGATATTTCGCTCAGAACATCGTTTCGTTTACTCAGCAAGTGCACATTCCTCGAGTTAACTGGTGCATCGACAAACTTTGAAACAGCACACCGAAGCCATACAAGTGAACTCGACCAAAGTCGTTGTACTCTAGCAATCTGAAAAGTTGAAAAATCGACTGCTTTTCAACACCGTTCAGTGCAGCTTTAACTGGCTGAATTGAAACTGCCTTTTGTATGTATCTATATAGGATCGTACATGTTAGTGCTATATATTATCATAACGTATTATACTGTATCTTACCGACGTCACGCATTTTTCCATTTTCTCGTTCATATTTCGACTAGGTCACCATTTGAGTGATCAACAAAAGCAAACATTTTTGTGTCGAGTGTGGCTTCTTGCTAGCATTCTTTTCCGTTCGCTTTTCTCTACATCATATTTCGGCAGTCTGTGCATTGTGCAGGCGAACTGCTATGGCAACTTTCGTTCTGTTTCTGTGAAATTGCGACAGTGCTTTTTGAGTTAAATCGTTTGGTCTGGGAACGCTTCAACGCAACCAGAGCGATCAACCGTATTCCGCACCACCACTTCAAATTCACCTTGAAATGAAGATTGCCACTATTCGCATTTCTCGTGTTTCGGTCCTTCGTTACGCGTTTGTGGAATCCCTCTGTATTCGTGAAAATTCGTCCTTTGTGTACGAAAAGTTTCCTTGACCTCATTTGACTTGGCCTAAATTGATTGGCATTTGTGGGGTTTATCTTCATACTCCGAGCCTCACTTTGTACTTTTACGATTAAAAACCGTACCTTACGCACATATCGGCCACGGTGGCATTGATTCACTTCACCAGAACAGCTGTCTTTTTGTCCTCTTTCAATCAGTTTTCGTGGGACCTAGAGGCAGACTGTGGATCGCAACTCGTGGTCGCGAAAGCCGTCACTGTTGATACTCTAATCCATCTGAACTCTGCTCAAATGATTTGTTAGTCCGAATATTTCATAGTGAAATTGCTACGGTATCTCCATACGATCGCAATAAGTAATGTCACTTCGTCATCCATCTATTTCTGTCAACGTTTGTCTGGTCTAAGATAGTGTACTTTGATATTTACGAACTTCACTCATCGCTTTTGCCTCCCTCCTTCCATCCAGTGAATTTACAATGTATTTTTCGCAGCGGAGACTCAGATACTAATTGGGATCTTTGCTTTCGAATAACCTCGTTTAGATGCCCAAATCGGACAAAGATAAAGAGTGCAGCTCATGGAGATAGTCATACACAATCTTGTACCGTGCAGATGCAGTCTCGGGTATCAGAACACGAATCTTCCTTGAACGAGGAGAACGGAACAACTACATCCTACACGGCAAACATGCTATCCGATACGGTGGATGAGGATTTGGCAGTCTGTGAGAACTGTGGACTTCTTCTTCGATCCGGCCGTCGTGTGTTTGGTATCACAGCATGGGAAGCAGCACGCGAAATACGGTTTCGCATATTTTGCGCAACTCGACTGACTGCCAGTGCCGGTGAGTTAGTCTGTGGATACGCGAGTTGCACCATCATGATGAATGAGAAACACGCGGGCGGCGCTCAAGGGCGTTTGTCTCCCATCCATGTGTGTGATTTTATTTTGTCCTTAGAATGAGCTCACTGGTTAAAACCATTGTTGGCTGTGTCGCTACAACTCGTACTGTCTGTGGGAAGCACGACTAGACTCATCAACTAGAGTGAGAGAAATGAAAAGTGAGTAGTTAAATATATCCTATCAGACGAGCCGAAATGAACGAGAATCAATGAGTCGGTCTGTTGTTATCACTCGTAACTGCATAGCACGTCATATACGGATTAAATCAAACTCACGCTGCCGTCATTTTATTTCGACACACGTTATGTACTAACCAACAGCCACTTCTCCTATGGCCAGACACCGAGAGGGAGTTGTAGCTAGCTGAATAATCATTCACGATCAGGGCACACATCCATCCAACCTCCCCTGCTGTTAGATCAATCTTTTTAGACCGTCGCTTGCTGAGTGTGGCTGTCCTCTTCTTATTCTGTGCAGACGGTATCAGCTGATACCAACAGTTCCCTCATTCGTAACACTGAATTCCAGCTAAACTGTCTGTGTATCGCTTTATCGCTTCTTTAAAACTATATATTCTACTCATGAACATCCGAGGTTTATCGACGAGGACTGTAGGTCCTTCAAATTTTTCCTTCATCAAGCAACTTGAGGAATCGCACATCTCATGAAGATGTTTGTCCCTCCAGCGAATTTCCCCTCTCATCCGAATATCCACGGCAAAAGAGAATGGCATTAGATAACTGGTTTTAACCAAAATCCCTGAAATTTATTTGACTGGCATCATAGAGATAACCTGACAGTAGAACGACCACTTGATAATTTTTAACCACAAACATTCTTTCAATACTGGATTCTTTGAAACTACACAAATGAGGTCAAAAGTACTGAGTTCTCGTCCTGAAAGCCTCAAGAAATATGCACCAAATTCCACAAGTATTCATTACCGTATGCAGGACCCCATCGAGAATTAGTACTGATACGAATGACTGGGGTAATTTCTGCTAACAAAATACCTTACCGTCTGAGGTGAAAATACCCAGTTTACACATTGTTGAACATTTTTCGAGAAATACACTCATTCGCAAATCAATTTGGTTTTCATGAGAGACTCAACAAAATCGCTCGTTTATGACATTCTAGAACTGAATGTGCTGCACACAGGCCACCTCATGATTCAGTTGGCACGATATTCGAGATATCGCAGTATATTTTGATAAAGGAAACCACTCACAAGGTTGCTGAAGAGTTTCGAAGAGTTTTCAGCAACCTTGTGAGTAGTTTCCTTTATGAGAATCTCACATTCCTCAATTATTCACACCGTGAAAGTTTAGTTGTAGTCTTGGTCGCACTTAATCAAGCCTGAAATTTTCTAAGTATTGCCAAGCTATTGATCCATTTTCACGGACTGGTAAAGTTATCCTTGTAATCGCAAAAAACGACCAGGTTGAGGCTACAGCCAGTCGCTGGCTCGTCTTTTCACCAAAAAGGGCCAACGGCGCAGTAGGCAAACCGTAACCGGTCGCTTGCAGTCATTGCCGTTTAATGCGATGGTGTCGGCATTTAGATATTGCTTTGGTGTGGAAAGACAATAATCACTGCGCCCTAGCCCCAAGGCAAATGCAGGTAGTGGCCAAGTCAAAAGTACCGTTACGTTGTTGGAAGTAGGCCCTGGTGACTGCAGCTTTGCGGTTTAACTGAAAGCATAGTTGCATTTTGTGTGGTCAGTGGCCAAAAACTCTTGAGTGTTATTCGTTTCCGGTTCGGATAATGCCGGGCGCAGGTCGAACTTAACGAAGCGAGCCGTCACAACCCATATTATCAAGAAAATAAGTTTACGTAAATTCTGTTTTTATATTTACCGTGTCGCACAGTTTGTTTCAAGAAATGACTGATGTTACTAATAATGACATTGGTTAGAGAATTTTATACTCGCGAATAGCGGCTTTTGCAAATGTATAGAGTTATTTTCGCACATGCCTTGAATCATGGATAGATAGATACTGGTTCCCGGTACACAAGACTGTAGCAGTGTAGTTACGAACACAACCATTTTTGAGAATTCCGGTCCATTTCCTAGAACCGTAATGGTTGTGAAAGAGCATTGGAGTTCACACAACTGTAGACGGCTGCAATATATAAATAAAAAAAATAAACGCAGTTTAACCTGTGCATCGTGCCTCTGCTCCGTGCTCCAAATCATGAACTAGCATGTATTCACTGCTTGGTGATTCTGTTGGAGCCAAGTTACCAGTTAAATTCAGGAATATGCGGTAAACTACCTAATTTTATTTGATTCTCTGTCCCTTGTCTCTATTTAACCAATGTGGGTGACGTTTGATCAACATTTGTGAAATTTTGGCACAATATTTCACTCCCAATAGGCAGTCTTAAACGGCTAGATATTAGCAGGTCTACTTTGTCAAAGAGCTTAAAATTACCTGTCCTCCTATCTATGTAACAACTAATATTCCTTAAGTAATACCATGAGTTTTTTCCAAAGCGTTTTGCTTTCAAGATTGACAGTAATCAATCACGAAGGGGCGTTAGGCTGTCATTCGTCTTTTTCATTGTGAAAGGTTGCTTGTTGCTTGATTTACAGGCGTGTTTACCCGATGTCTCCATATCTCCAGACCTCTATGTGTTGTTGTTTTGCTATGGAATGTGTTGCAACAGAGCAGGTAGCGACCTTCACACGCCAACATGCTACGTACTCTCTAAATGCTCAAAAAGTGATTTTCCAGTTTATTTTTATGGCTCTAGTGCAGAACCAAAAAGCTGATGGCAAAATGTGATGTTCATTTAAAGCCTCTGTTCGGAGCTATTCCTTTACGTATATATCTGGTTTTTGTCCAATTTGGTTTACAGTGCATCAGCATTAAGCAGTGCCATCCCAGAGACAGTACGTCCCACTTTCTTATCACGACAATGATCACTCGCAATATTTGCCTTAGTTTCCGATTCTATCTCATTCGACAATCTCAGTACTTGTATATTCGTCGGTTTATCTTAGCGTTTAGTTCGGAATAGCTCAATGGCTAAGGCGCGCACTTACTGAGCGGAAAGTCCATGCTTCGAATCCGATCCCGACATCTCGACTGCTATTATCTAGGCTTCGGAAGTCTGCTAGTATCCCAGCCCTGAAGCTTCCTTCTGGTGGCATGGCAGCTAGACACCGAATGGGTTTTACAGTTGAACGATTATTGTTTTTATCATTATTAGTATCTGTTCGTGACCAGCTTTCACGGTCTACTTCACACAGTACAATTATTAACCACTGGTGGGGATAGTATATTCCCTATTGTTAGCGCAATGTGTTTAACACGAGTGAACATGCTTTGCGCTTGCTCATCCTTGTGTCAATGTAAGTACAACTACTCACAGAGGCTGATGTTGTTTCCTCAACAGGAGCGCGGGTTATGGTTGAGGGGGAATTCCGTTGGATACTGTATCTATATCTGTCTCTGGAGGGTTGCTTCTAAGAGCGGGTCCTTTCAGCATTCAGCAATAGTCACTTCGATCCTCTGCCACGTTCCAAAACCAATGAAATTTGTTTGTTGTGCCTTGTTTGGAAGAGTCTCAGTTTCCTCGTTTGATGCTCCTACTTCCACCGTTCGTTGGAGCGCATTGAAGCAAAACCACAGCTGCCAACGAAACCGAAATCTAACTTCTGTGGTGTAGTGTCGCAGTAGGCCCACACATTTGTTCGTAGTCCCATTTTTTTCAAATATCTGAGGGGTGAATATACACTCATTTGCAAACTAATTTGGTTTTCCGAGAGACTCACCTGGAACCCAGCTGAATTTCTCGTTTGTGATGTTTCCAAGCAACGGAATGTTCTGCACCAGAACGCCTCATATTTCAGTCGCTACGTTATTCGGGATATCGCGATACATGTATACTTGTAGCGAACTACTCATAAGGTTGCTGAAAATCCGTCGACAGCGTGTTTATTACTCCCTTGTTTACCAATTTCCCTTTGTCAGAGGGGCTGACCTCAAGATCCCTATCAATCAAAGCATGAATTCTAGCACACATCCATAACCCACAGCCTTTCTGTTAAATTGATTGGTGGGTGTTCAACTGAAAAGGGTGTCTCAGGTGAGAAAAGAAGTCAAGGTTTTGACACAACAGCATTATCCTCTACCAGTAAGCAGTGAATATGAAAGGTCACGTCAGGTCACGTCACCTGTGTGGGTAGCGGGTCTACCTCCCGAAACTTAACAATACGGCTCAACTTAGCTGCCACATTCCTCCTAAACCGTTTAATCGGTTTCAACGAAATAGAGTGAGGCGGAAGCATAATTAGATAACCGTGGAAACTAACTGGCTCCGGCAAGGACGAATGCAGACTGTCACGAATGATGCCACACTTCTCTTAGCATTGACAATTGGTTTGAAATTTTTTTGATTGTGCCCTTAAGCAAAACTCTTTCCCTTTGCAAAGGCGTGCTTTGCTCGTAGGCGTGAGTATGCAAGCTTTTCGTTGGGAAACTTTTTCTCTTCAAGTGTGGTAGCTGTAACAAGGTTTTAATCTTATCGACAGGAGACCCAACTGGAACCCACCTGAATTTTCTGTCTATGACTTTCTTAGACAGCTGAATGTCCTGCACCAGGCTGCCTCGTGTTTCAGTCGATACGATTTTTGAGACATCGCAATACATTGCATAGACGTAATACATTACTCACAAGGTTACTGAAAACTCTTCAACAGCCCACGACCGGTTTCACCCTTATTGAAGCTCATCAGGTAGGCGCAGTCCCTGAGTTTCCGTCGATATTTTGTTCTACTAGAACCCAAATTAGACAGATTCCGACACTTACTTTCATTTATATATCACTTTGGTTTTGACAGGAGACTTATCTGGTACCCAGCTGAATATCTCGTTTTACTTAATCTCTTAATCTCTCATTCTGAACAAAGTTGGATGTGTGGATGTTTTGCATTCTTCTTGACAACCTGCTGAAACGTGTTTCCCAACCCCAAACCTAATTTTGAATAACAGATTATGGGAATAATCAGTGAGAGAAAACTTGGCTAATTACCGTACATTTTGACTGCTTTATTAGTTTGGATCTGGGTTCATTTATCGATTTGTTCGGATTTTCGCCCCCCTAGGACTTGGACCAAACACGTTGACTGCCAAAATTGCGTCTGACTGGTGTAAACCTAGTGGGCAGTTCGAAGTTGCCCGAACTTCGGAGGCAGTCACAGAATTTATGCGGCAGCTACCTGTTCGAAAGGTACAGTTTTCAAACGTATTTTCCACTGTTTCACTTTTCGGTGAATACTGTGTCCAAATGCTTACTACTGCACATTGACTTTTGAATCCCTATGTCTGTCATTCATCCTAAACCAGCTAACGTTTGGTTGCTAAACGCAAGCTGATTCGTTGTAAACTGACCCAGATACGACACGAATTTGTGGCGTCGTTAGGTACCACGTCAGTTGGTTGTTAGCATACTCTGCACCGTCTTAGGTGCTGTCACTGAGCCCCTGAGACTGCGTACCTGAATGCTGATAGGCTGTTCAAGCTCAGAGACTGTGGACGTGTCATATCAACTTGAGCGTCCGAATAGCTGAGGGCTGCACGGCATATGACCTTGTATGTGACACAGATGTGAACTGTTACCAACACACCAAAAATTTCTGCACTGGTGGTCGAAGGCCATCAATCTGAATATCACCAATATTACTGCGATAACGTCGACTACACTGCGGAGCTTAGCCTAGTGACCCTGGTATATCTACCGATATCAATACTACTCACTCTCAAACAACCAGCGGTTTCATTGAATGCAAAAACCATTGAAGAAACGGACTGTATGACTTTTGAAGTCGGTGGCGCATCCTGCTGATAATATGCAGTTATAGTACGGACCATTTTTCCATTCATTTGATTAGGGTTTTCCTTACTCAACCATATTTTGAAGTAATACTTGCCCACAATTGCGCATACTTGAAGCATTTTGTAGTTTTCCGTCAAATACACTTTTAATGAAGTATCAATGAAGAAAGGACTCAAAGGGCTCGTTGTCATCGGTCGCCGGTAGTTGTTGGCATAATGCGTTAACACGCTGCAATGTCACTGGTGTATCCACTCCACCCTTTGAACCGATCCCCATTCATTGACTTTAAAGTTTGTAGCCTTTCGACTTTGTTGCCCCGGAAGTAATACGAGAGCGTCGGTATTTTCATTCTTGTATTCAAACAGAATAGAGGATGCCATCTCTTTTGAAGTGATCGCTCAGTAAACTGCCATAGCAGAGGTGGTCGTCCTTTCATCCACACAAGACCAATTTGTTGCAAATGCACAAAGACTCCGTGGAGTTTTTTGCACTAAATTAGCACTCTCTGGTTCTTTCCTGTTCGTGGTAGTCGGTGATTTCTGTATATGGTTTACCTTATTGCTAACATCACTCGGATTGGGTGAATTCGTGTGTATCCGGATCATGTGTAACTGATAGGACTGGGGAGCTTTCTGAAATTTCCCACAATGGCTCTCCGGACGTTGTAGGCTGTTTATCAAAGGAACCACAACACGGCGGTGCGTGTGATAATAAATATTACCACTGTGAGGTCATCAGCGCCTGTGGGGTCATTAGTGTTTCTGCATCAGATCACTGTGATTACGCCACTATCTGTGTTTTTCGATGAAAAGCAGCTCACCACACCACATGAGTCATTGGGTTAGGATTACCAAAGTCGTTCTTCCTAAGACCTTCTACATGACCGGACCTATTTCATCCACCATGCACTGGCTGTAAACTGTCACGAGTTCCTGGAGAATTATCCCATCTTGTAATTTGTGCTTGTGCTTATCCTCGTCACGTATACGAACTTCATGAGGAGGCGGTAGTGAGCATGGGGCCTCAAGGCTTCCATTCTAAGTAGGAGGGTAAACCCTTCAGTGTCAATTCGACGTCGATTCACGAGTATTGATTTCATCACATTCTGGTGGGTTTGGCTCCTCCCATGAGTAGCCATCTTCTCCCTATTTTTCTCTTCGTATATGAACGGCACATCAGCCGTCATAATAATCGGAGATGCAGAATTTGATGGATTAATGTGAATATTATCGTGTCCGGAAAATCACGGAGAAGCACTCAGAACCCTCAGCGAGCATCATGAACAAAGTTGATTTGTTTCGGTTCTGCACTTGCTAGGTCACTGTCGACGAAGCGAAGCGCTTATCTCTGCACCGAATTCACTTCAGCAAAGGGGTACGCGACCAATGTTTCTGAATCCTGATGAGTCCGATAAGTCAGGTCTAACCAAATGCTGCTTTTGTAATCTAGTTATTTCCTTTAAGTGAAAGTGTTGAAGATGTTTCGATACTCCACTACTGGTTAAACTATTTTTCGAATTCGTCAATGAGTTTCCCTTAATAGCATTCCGTGCGTGAGCACGAAATGTGTAGAATAGCAAGTTGTTCGTTTGGGGCTTGTGCAATACACATAGCTGTTAACATTTTTCTGAGCGCAAGTGCTTTTTACGAGGTTGCTACGTGGTTCTTCACACAACCTCGCCATCGATCCCACCCACGCAAAAAGTAGAGTGAATAAAAGGTCAAACAGAATCGTTGTTATTGTTTGTGCTTCCTTCTTGCAAGTGATGAATCACAGAGAAAGATAAAAGGGACGTTTTCAATGTAGGCAATCGCAGGTGAACTGATGGTTACCGGGACACAGCATTCTCGCTCGGTTTGTGCCTAATTCCACATGTTTGCATTACTTACACACGGGTCTCACTGGATTAGCAGTTGCATGAGTTCCTAGCCATGCATCATGTTTCGCAGTGTTTATTCACCTACTGAGTAGGAAATTAATTTTGAAAAGTAAACTGACCAGTAGTCAGGAGAGATTCTGGTGAATAAGAATGAATCAGGTTAATTTTATCCTGGGAAGCGATTTGGTGCACTTGGGAGGGGTTCGCTGCGCATTGGAAATTAGCCACTGTCACTCCATAACTGCTCATTCCCCCGGAAATATGATTGCTGACTTTCCATGTTAGTTGTTGATAATATGATAATGTTCATGTTACACGTCGACTTTTGTTGCACGTTTTCACTGCGGTGGGCATCGTCTCACAGATATCTCAAATTTCGAACCCTAAGTTGGTGTTTTCTAGAGTCAAACATCACTGACAGAGGTGCGACATAAGTCTCATCTTGAAACGGTCGATGTACTATGCATCCATCCAGGGAAGTTTTCTGTAGTTGGTCACTCCATGTAGAAAATATGCCACACTTTTCGGTAATTCTTGCAGAAATATGGTGTCAATTTTTAATCGATGTAAAGAATTCACAACTGAACTGTGATTCCTAACAGTCGGCATTACTAGCTCAGCCACTTTGGGAAATGCATCCTTACCGGCTATCCCGACGTGCCCTGTATTGTTTTTCCGTTTGAGCATGAAGAAGTATCGTGAAAGCCAGTCAGCAGTGCGAAGAAGAAACATTAAAGATGATGAGTAGGCTGTCTTTGACTGGACCGGTTCGACTTCCTGTATAAAGTCCAAGGAACGGTAAATTTTCATTGGTAGAAAATTGGCTGACATGGCACAGAACTGAGTGGCGCGCCTAAAGTCCAAGGAACGGTAAATTTTCATTGGTAGAAAATTGGCTGACATGGCACAGAACTGACACCAGTGGCGCGCCTTTTCCCCGTTTTGTCACCGTGATATTTTCTTTTATATCTGTTACTCCGTTTTCGGAACCTTCTTCATAGCTGATTTCATGTACTGTTATACTATTATAAACCGACCTGGGCCAAGTGTACAATGTATTCCAAATTCGAAGCGCTTTCCCTGATAGAGAAAGCCGAAATAACGGAGCAAATCACAGTGGTTTTATAAACACTTCACAGACCTCAATGTTGTTTGCTGTTACCACTACCGGTCAGAACCATTTCGCTCTTTTTATGGGATCTTCAACTCATCCAATGTTTTTGGTGCTTGGATTTGGTAGTGACTCACCGGGAAATAACTAATATCTGCCTATCTGACTTGTAAGAAACCGAATTTAGAGCAAGATTTTCTCGCTAGTTTTGGATACGCCACAATCTTTTTCACAGGTTAGCCAGAGACTGACCGCATATCCCATGCTAACAACAACATTTTGTGTATGGCGATATGTTGGGTTCGTTCAGCTATCGATGCAATCCAATTTCAGTGTTTCCCTCCAATTCCAGCAGTCAAATCCACGCTGTTTTATTGATCCGTGTCCTTAGGTTATTTACATCGTTTGTTATTGTCTCCAACCTCGCGATGTTTGCTTTCTAGCCTTTTTCTATGTTGTACTTTCAAGTCCAACCGATAATTGTCTGTACGAATAGGTTGGCCAACTTAATCCGGTAACACTAAATGTTTCCGAACGTGAACCTGCGTCAATAATGAATTTGAATATAAAGGTTGGGAAACGTGTTAATCGGTAGGTTTGCGTTTCTTTGCAGGACTGCATTTCGAAACACTACTTGGCATTTTCTAGCTCAGAGTGGTCACACCTGGACTCCTATTGAGCAATGTGTGAATTTGTTCCAGGACATGCTATTTCTCCTCAACTTGTTATTTTCGATGATTGAATTAGCACCTAGAGAACTTGGTATATACATCATGCACATAATGGGAAAGAAATACCCACTGTTAGTGTCTGCTAACTGATTACAAACAAAGTGCAGCAATCAACGGGTGTGATGATGATGACAGTTTAACTTCACCGAATAAAATGTCTACTGCATGTCATGAGCTCTTCTGTTTGGATGAAGGCGTTCAGCCAATCCAGGGGCCCGAAATGCCAAACCATATTAGGCTCCCATGTTTTGGGCAACGGCCGGGTGGCACGATGAGCTCACTGTCACGTGTACAAACTCTTACCGGAATTCATGCTACCAAATTAGTGTCTTCCAAAGGTTGAGAATCAAATGGGCGTAAGAATACTTGAACTAATTTCAAGTTTACTCTAAGTCACCGACATTCATCCTCACAGGCTGCTGCCGTTTCCCGATATTGCTTCTGTCTTTTGCAGCCAAAAGTTCGATATCTATGAGAGCGCGCAAAAAAGGGGCACTTTGTTTTGCTGTAGTCCATCAGAATGATCTAATGATTGACCAGCTAGACACATCACGTTTTGCAAACACTTGCCCGAATAGATCCTATGGGTAATCTCATGGCGCAACAAAGTGGAATAAAAATGGCATCTCTGGCTTCCATTTAACTAGATGCGCTGACTAATTTTGTGCACTATGCTGTCACTTTTTGCTTCCACCCACACTAAAGAGTAGGCGGAGGTGTCTTTTTTGGTTCGGTGGGTTGAACGGTGAAAGACCAAGTTTGATAAGATACCTTTATGTGAACACGTTTGCAATCAATGACGACCGTATGGACAGAATTACTTAGTGGTGGTATTGTCTCATATTTCGTCCGATTGATAGATTGTCCTAACAAGTCCAGCGTTGTATCAGAAAACTTATGACGTGATAATCATTACGAAACTTGATAATGACTCCACTATTTTTTCAATCATTTTTACAAGGTTCCTGGAATAGGCCACGTCACAGAACGACGTCTGGAAGCTTTCGGGATTCGTACTTGTCGAGATCTTATTGAGAAACGTGGCATACTGTGGCACCTTAGCAGTCGTTCCGCCATGGCGTATTACTTGAGAATCGCTGTAGGTCATAGCGATGACGACTGGTTACCGTGTTCTAATCCCGAAATTCTCACTCGACCTAACGATTCTAACGTACTTGCATTATCCGAAGGGGATTCCAACCAAGGGCGTTATGAAGTCGATCGTAAAAGCATGAGCGTCGAAAGGTAAGTTTACGTGCCGACTGTTGTTTATTTGATGCCTAACAGCAGCCCTCGGTTGATAGCGAAATGTACCGCCATTGTATTCATTTGCATTTGTCTTTTAATAGGTATTCTTCGGATGTGTCTAGCAGGTGGCTTCCACCTAATTCTTTTGGGCTATCTACTCGTAAATGGTTCTACGGAATCTCGAATCAATCCGAATTCTTCGCAAGCTGATCACAATAAAGGATTCATGTTCAAGCTAATACAAGCTTGACCTCGGAGCAGCTACGCATACTCACTTAGACTAAGACCGATTTGATTTGTCCCGCCCGCAACACTACAGTACGAGCGAGTACATCGTGTTTATTGTCCGTGTTGAAAGAAGATCATCCAACATACAATGTTTCAAGCAGTCATGGGAGGACTTACATACAAAGCACCAGTATTTATATGCCCCATAGATGCTCTAAGGTGGCCACAGTGAAACGTAACCTCAAGTATTTGAACTGAGAATGATGAAGTGCGGCTGGTTTTATTTAACTGCTTTTTTTACTATTTTCCCTAACACAGGAATCGGCGAATCCAGCGACGATGGCAAAAAGATACTAAAATGGGGAAAACGGTAGTGGACGGTCGAACAATGTGTATTAACTCTATCAGTAGTATCGTACCATGGACCTGAAAAGTCACTTTTGGAAACGAATAGCTCGTACATCGAAATAATAATAGCTCGGGTGCGTTAATCGATTGTTGTTAATCGGCTGTTGTTGCCGTGCTCGGTAAATAGGTCAATAGTCACCCGGTCTACAAACTACCATTCTCGGAAAATACTGTGAGTGCTTTCCGCATAAGGTTGAAAAAAATCTAAGATGGATGTCGAATTTAAATCTATTTATCTCAGAATAGTTTACCAGCAAGGTGTGAATCAACCAAATTTTTGCTTTCCGGTGTTTTTTTTAATAAAAACGTTTCGGAGTGAACTATGCGTTGATTGCTATCTCTCGAATGCATAAATCTTAAACTACTCTCTCAACTTTTGCAAATGAGAGCAGACACAAGGCATGTGAGTAATCAACTTTGATTTTCGTTGTGTCCTATCCGGGGCGCATCGAATGATCTTGCAGTAACAAACCCCACAAATTTTTACTAAGGTGGCAGCTGTCATTAGTTGTTATATTCTGCACTCCCAGTCAGTAACATTGACCCTGTCATTTGCGTTATGACTCATCAAGGGAATGAGAATCGACTGTTGGTGCATGGTTACATGGAACTCGAAGTGAAAGTTTAAGAACATTGTTTCGGAAACCGTTCGGTTTTATTCACGAGATTTGCAATTCCTCCAGTCGGGTAACACTGTTCAATATCAATCCACTGTGGTTAAATGTCTTATCACTTCTGCGCACTGCCTCATATTGAGATGGATTGTAATGATTGTTCTTCCTTACGATAAGCCAATACAATAGCTTAGAAGCCTAATACAAGTGTAGTCTAGCGCTGATAT